AGCTTTAAAAACTTCTTTTTCTTATACTTCTTTAAGAAATTTATTTCAGCAGTCTGTTTTAGTTTTTTTAATATCTGAAAAATATTCATTTCTGACAGCTTTGAACTCTTTATCAGAAATTATATCATTCTTTCAATCTCTTCTAGTAGTAGTCAATTGTTTCCTTTTAGATGTGATATTCTCATTTCATCAAGATTTTGAATACTCAGAAGACTTTCTCTTTGAAATATTGTCTTTAACACTTACTAGAATAATAGATGTAATAAGCTTCACTCTATTCTCAAGTATTTCATTTGAGATATCTTGATCAGGATTTCAATACAGCTCACTCTGTCTTTCAGATTTTAACAGTTTTATACTTTCTTCAACTGCCTTTCAGTCAGCTTTTTCAAAGTTAAACTGATTAGAGAGAAGAGAGTTTTCACTCATTTATTTCTCACTCAGTTCAATATCAAATTGAATAATCTCATGATCTGATTCTGATGTCTCATTTCAATCAATAAATCAGTTTATAAGTCTTTTTTCTATTAGATTTTGTGATATGAAGATTGGATGTATAATAGATTTCTGTTTCATGTCTTTTCTAAAGAATGTTTATTAATCAGACTTGTTAATTAAATCTATTGAATGCTCAAAGATTCAATCAATCAGATTATCAGCTCTTACTGCTCTTTTGCATTCTGAATTTCATCAGAGATAATGTGCATTGAAATCTCCTATAATTATGGAGTTTCTTAATGCAGTTATATTCAGAAATTCTCTATTAATTATCCAGATGTTATTATTTTTCTTCAATGACTTTTCATTATAGATATTTATAAGCTGTATAGTATCAAACTCATTCTCTTTATTCATAGTATCACTCACCAGAATATCAGAGTCAGACATGATACTAAATCTTAGATTAAATTAATATCTTGATCTCTTGCTTTCATAGATCACTACTCTTAACTTTATCTCAGACTTTTGAGATAAAAAGCAGCAGTAGCTTGAATGAAAAATAACATATTTTTACTCAGCATTAAAATTCAGCTTCTGAAGTAGTATAAAATCAACTTTTTATTCAAATGTAATTTAAAGACAAGAATAAATACAATTTGAGTTTCTATTCACATTATTTTAAATAAATGTGATTTTTGAAGAGTTTTTAAACTTTTTTTGTTGTTTTTATTGTATATTCATACTAAAAGAGAGTAGAGTGGAATCTAATCACTATTATCAGATAGTAGATTATAACTATTCTGAAAAGTAGAAATCTTAACTGCTTATATTATATCTAGTTTATCATCAGAGTCATTTCTCAATTCTCTAATCTTAACAGAAGTTTGAGAATTCAAATTCTGTTTACATTTAACTGAAGAATTGAAGTTTGAAGATTTAGATAGTTAAGAGTTTCTTCTTTTTAAGCTTACAGTTGTGAGTTTACTGACTTGACTATTCTCTTCAGTTCTAGATTTACTTTGAGCTTCATCTTTTCTTCAGTTCTTTTAAGTTCTAGAAGCAAACATACATTCTTTTGAGCTAGATGCATGTTTTTCTTTACAATTAGAGCATTTAAGCAGAGTGTGTTGACATATTTCATCTCTTTTTAAGCATATTTCATATTTATACTTACTAGTTTTGTGATCTCTGATACAGAATGCACATTTTGAGTCTCTGAAATAGAAGATTGTAAAGTGTTCATATCTTTGACAGTTTGAACACTGTGTTTGAGCTTTGAGATTTATTCTTGAGTCTTTGTATTCATGAACTCTCATTTTCAAATCTGCTACTCTTACTTCAGAGATCTTTGACTGTTTAAGTGTCTTTGTATATACTAGAACAGAGACATTTCTTCTACTTTGTCTGAACTTAATTGAATTTAGTCATACAGACTCTTTTCTCAGTTGAATAGAGTTGTATTCTTCTAATTCATTTTTGAGAAGTAGTATTTCTTCTTCACAGTCAAAAATTTCAACTGAAATATTATAAAGAATGAATTTGTTTCACTTTTCATCTCTCTCAGATAGAATTATTGTGTTTAACAAAGATTCTACTGCTGATTTTCAGAGATTCTCATTCTAAATAAGAAATTCTGCACTGAATTCAGGCATTATAGTCAGAATAATAGAGTTTTTAAAGAAGAATGACACAATTGAAGCTATAACTGGTTTTTGAACTTCAATATCAGTTATTAACTGAGAAAAGAACTGCTGATTAATTTCATTTCTGATTCTGAAAATGAGATTTGAGTTTAGCTTATTTCTTTGCAAGATGTTCTGATTTAAGACTTTGAGAATAAGTCTTCTATTTCTGGAGATTTGAAAGTTTTTCTTCTTTTACATTTTTTTCTTCACTTTTCTATCAATAGAAGTATGAGCATTATTCTTCTCAGTTTTCTCAGGATTTTGAGCATGTTTTGAGATAGCAGATTTAGAGACAGCAGATTCAACTGCTTAAGCATATGTTTTTTTCTGATTCAAAGAAGAAGAAGAAGTAGAAAAGAAGAAAGAAGAGTAAGATGAGAAGTCAGTGATTATACTAGAAATTTTCAATGTTTTTTGAACTGTGTTTGAAATTCCAAGTTTGAACTTGATCATCTTCTGTAGTTATCTAGTCTGAGTATGAAGAATTAACAGAACTTCTTCATTTATCTCACTCAGATACTGCTTTTCAAGAATCTTGCTTACTTTTTCAAGTTTTCATATTTCATGAACTTATTGTTTCTCTATTTCTTCTTTCTTTCTTCTCTTCAGAATTTCAATCTCAGGAATAGCATTTGAGAAAGCATCTTTTTTCACATCAACTGAGTGTATTTTTGAACTCATTGTTCTCACTTAATGAAAAGTTGATCAGACTGTTTCAATTGAGATATGTATTGAACTCTTTTGAAAAGTTGATCAGACTGTTTCAATTAAGAGGTTTCTAAGTCTGTTTTCAATTGAAAAGTTGATTAGACTGTTTCAAAAGAAGAATAAAAGACTTTTATATATAAAACACCTGATTTTTTTCACACTAGTTCAGTAACTAGGTTAGATTTTTAAAGAGAATCTAATAAACTAAAATTGATTTTTGAGATAAATTAATAAAATCTTTACAATCGCTTTCTTGAGATACAGTGAGGAAAAGTATGATATCAATTGATAATAAATCACATAATATGACAGTTTTTGAGAGAAAAACTGATACAAAATAAATCAATTTTTTGCAGAGAAATTGATTAAAACTATTCAATTTTATTCTATATCATTCAATTCTTCTCACACAACAAGTGTGCAACTCAAATCAGTTAATAAAGAGTGTAAAAAAGAATTAAGTATTAATAAAAGCTCTTCAGTCACTGAAAAAGTAATTCTTACTTAAAGGAATATGAAATTATGACAGAAAACAGCTCTGTTTTTAATTCTTTGTAAGAATATTGTATAAAATCCAGAGAAAAACACCTTACTTTTTCAAGAGAAGTAAAAAACTATTTCTAAGATCTTTTTTTTGCATTAACTGCTGCAGAAGAATGAGATAGAAACTGCTAAACTATACACTACTATATATTCTCTATCAAGACTTTCCCTCTTCAGAGTCTTAATATTATAGAGAATATAAGTCTGTTTCTATATAATAATATAAATATTGTCAGCAGGATGTAGAGAAACTGGTTATTTATATCTCAAAATAGAAGACTTTGTCAATAATTATATCAATATAGAGTTAATTCTCAAATTCAATAGAAATCTAATGTTGCTGTTCTCAATCTCTTGCAGAGTCTATTGAATATTAAGATATTAAAACTAGATTTAATATATCTCACTGTGCAGGGATCAAAGGCTCAGTCAGACCTTGAAATATACTGATTTTATAGTTATTGTGTCTGCTGATTATGTATCAAATACAGTTGCTGAGGTATCTTTTCATACTTTTCTGCTGGGGATGGGCCAGATTGAGAGAGGTGATACAAGGGTGAGACTTGGTGTTGATGTCTAGATACACTGAAGACAGACTGTGGAGATTGCACTTCAGAAGTGGCTGTTGATTATGTGCTTGATATTATCATCAAGGTATCTTTTTGTATTTTTCTGCTGGGGATGGGCCAGATTGGGAAGGGCGGTACGAGGGTGAGACTTGGTGTTGGTGTTTTGAAACATCAAAGATGGACAGGGTTTTCGCGGAGATTGCTCCTCAGATATCTTCACAATTACAGATCAGGGATCTTCCAAAATCGAGAAGATTGGTGCATATGGCTAGGTCTCTTCACCTTACAATTTGTATGGCAATCTGGCCCGGGGTTGTGGTGTGGTAGGGGAGAATGCGGGATAATCCCACACAGGAGTTTCGAACAACGTCTGATTCACATTTGGCTGGATAACTCCACCACTACACAGGGTATGCGGTCGGCGATGGGGTCAAAATGCTCGTATGATCGAGGGCTTTTCGATGGATCTATCGGCAGGTTCTTATTCGAAAAATCGAGCGAGTTCGTGATGGAGCGGTTTGATTATACAATAACAGTGATCACAGATTATAAAAGTCTCATCTATCTATAATTAACAATGAAACCTTTTAAACACTTAGCATGTTAAATCTCAGAGTTCCAAGCATACAATCTTTATATTAAATACTGAAAGGAATCAGACACTGTGATGCTTGATACAATCAGTTACAGACTCAAATTCATAAATGAGAATTCTGTAAATCAGGCATAAGAAAAGTTTGTATTAAACATACTGAGAGAATGCAAGAAATCAGAATAAGTGAATACAATAATCTCTCACTTGAAGAATAGCAAGATGTCAGATGATAAGCATCTTGTAAAAGTAGTAGAAGAGATGCTTTCAAACTTCAAGCTGAGGAAATTGAAAAACAATGTTATACTTTACTATGATCTAGAATATGTGCAAGCTCTCTATCTAAAACATTTATTTAGACATGACTTGATGACTGATATACACAAGGAATTCAGTCCCTTAGAAAGCTCTGAACTTATAAACATACTTGAATTAAGAGTATACTGATCAAGCATGATCAAGAACATTCAGATGTACACTCACAAGTGTCTGAATTGTCAGATTGTGAAAGAATCTAAGAAAGGATTAGAATATAAGAAAGTATAATATTAGATAGAATGTATAATATAATCATTTGAATGATGAAGAGTGAATCTCATAGACATATTACTATGAATGTCAAATGAAATTTATTGAATAATCACTGCTATTGACTATACTACTAGCTGGTCAGTCATGAAAGCAGTTTCAGAGATAATAGAGAAGATGATGATAAAGTTCCTACATAGTGAGATCTATGTTAACTATGAAATACTGTGTGAGATTCTAACTGATAATGATACAAATCTCATAGAAGAAGTAGTGAGGCATTTTATGAGCCAGTTACAAACAAGATATTATAGAACAATATTATATCATTCACAGATGAACAGAAAGATAAAATACTTGAATGAAATCTTAAATAACATGCTAATAAAATATCTAGTGAGCAAGCCTATATAACTATAAGATGAATATCTCAGACAGATGCTATTAGTCATGCAGATTTGACAGTATACAGTCTTCGAGTATTCATAATTCTATCTGTTATATGAATTGCATTCACACATCTCAGAGAATGCTTCAGAAAAGATGAGAGAGAGAACAGAAATTACAGATGCAATAGTCACAGACACAGCAGTCACAGATATGAAATCAAGATTGAAAGAGATCAGTCATACACATATAAAAGCTAACAAGTTACTCCTTAACTGAGTAATTCAATCAAAAGGAATACAAGACTCACTGGTTAAGAAACCAAGTCTCAAGATAAGAACATAAGTTCTTATATGTAATAAAAGTTCTGAGAAGTTTTAATCTAGATGATTTAAGTTATATAAGATACTCAAATCACATTCTCTGAGAACATATACATTGAAAGAATCAGAGAAACAGATCTTACATAACTTAATAAATGATTCATATCTTATAAAGATAAAGATGTAAGATCTGAGTAGATTATAATTATCTACAGCACTATTATCAGTATTGAAAAAGAAGAGACTTATAATTGAAAAGTCTTGTGAAGTAAGAGAAATCATAGACACTTACAAATCAGATAATCTCACTTATTCTGATCTTTTCACAATTATAAGAAAAGAATGAGAAGAAATGAAGAAATCAGATAAATATTACACTTTAATAAGTGATATGACTGTAGCTGATTATATGATAATATGCTACAGATAGTAAGTGTAATACAGTAAAGAGCAGTCTCATAGCAGCAGACTTATATATAAATTAGATCACAGAAGAAAAAGGAATTCAGAGTTGAATTCAACTGTTTACATCAGTTTAATCACAGAGATAACAGAGAATAAAGCATCTGAAACATTCACAGATGTATGAAACTAAGTCATCTCAATCTCTGAAAATGCTCAGAGATTGAGTGAGATTAGTTGCAATAAACTGTTTACTGTAGTGATCTGAGCAGGTGAAGAGAGATAGTATAATACATAAGACTGAATTACAAGAGATGAAAGCTGCTGAATCTAGTCACTAAACACTGTATTATATAAAGATTATGTAAGAGTAGTGACTAGCAGATAAAGAAAAAGCATAAGAAAAGAGAGGAAATAATAAATTAATCATCAACTGTAGAAGTGAGATATAAAAGATAAATATTATTATACACATCTCATTCATTTTTATACACTATATATTTAATCTATTTTCATTGCTACATCACCTGAAAAACACTAAAAACAAAGAAAATCTCAAAACTCAAGATTCATAAGAAATTCAAGAGCTGCAAGCTGCTCTTATAACAATACTATACATATCTCTGATTTCTCTATCACTGTAACGTGGCGGAACCGAAGCAGTGACTAGTCAGCAGCATCACATAGAGGTAGTTGTTTGAGAAGCTGTATAAGTGAGCTTGACTATCTTGATTAAATAGCAAGCTCATAGGCTACAGGGTTATTGTGAGAATATCACAAATATAATACTTAGTATACTAAGAAGATTATATAAGAAATGCAGTAACTCTTGTATATATTTCAGTGAGAGAAAAATGAATCACTGATTTCTTTAATGAGAAGCCAGTATTTAGCTATTCTATATAGATAATGAGCAGATACTCTGCTCTCATTGCATGAGTGAGAATAGCTGAAGTGATATCTCAGTGATATCTCACTATTAAGAAAGAGTAATCTGCTGATCTTATATAGAAGTGAGATTCTCATATTCATCAATTGAATCTTTCTATAATATATCTGAATAATGTCATAGAGTGATTGAAAACCAGTTTAAACAGTCTGTGAGATGAATGAAATCATCTGCAGAGAAGTGATGAGCTGTGTGAAACTATAGCAGAGTCTTAGTACAGTCAGAGATATGATAATACTCTCTTCTTTAAGAGTATAGTTCTGATACTCTTAAGATTACTGAATTAGAAATTATCTTTGATATATAGTAATAGTTATTGTAAGAGGCCTACGCCGAATAGATCGGTATAATATATAGGTCTTATATAACAAAGATAAAAATGTTAAAGAAGGAAAGAAAGAGAAAGTGTGAGAATCAGCAATCAAGGTGAATATTTATATGTGTATGTGATGGTGTACGTGGTGGAGCTTTGAAGTGGAAGAATATATGTGTGTTTGTAGTGGCCGAGGATCGGGGATCGGGAATGACTGAGAATCAGAGTGTATGCTACATGTGTTCATAGCAGCCGTGAATTGGTGATCAGAAATGAAAGAATCTATGAAGTGTAATGAAATAGTCTATATGATTGATCAGGCGCAGCCTATCACATTAGCCCTCTCTTTTCAGAAGCAGTTCTCATCAGTCAAGAGCTGCTGTTTCAGATAACACAGAACTCAGAGTTCAGGTCAGTTAATTATAGCTGATTCATTTCATAAGATATTATCAGTCACAGCTGTAGAATCTCTCATTGAGAATATCTTCAATCTCTCACTCAAGCTCATTATCTTCTTCTATGATGTCTGACAGCTGTCAGTCAGAAGTCAGCTGAGAAGGAAATGAATCAGTGATAATATGATAAAGCAAGCTTGTATGAAATACATTATAAATCTCTGATGATGTGTCAAGATAATAGTTATAGCTATCTAAAACTACTATTACTTTATATCTGATGTGATAGTAATCTAGTATATGAGATGAATGTGTGATTTATATATTCTTAAGATACAATTATATCAGATCTTCTATCTTATATTGTTCAGTGAGATCTCAGTGAACATTAATTTAATTCTCTTAATCTTATTTCACAGTTGTCATGAAGACCTCTGCTCAATCACAGATATCTTAAAGCTTTATTACTATATTATCAGTGATCTGAATTAAACTGTAAGAATTCAGTGTGAACTGTATAATCTCTAAAAGATTCAACACTTTCATGTGATAACTATGTGTAAGAAAGAACAGACTTACATCTGTTAAAATAATATTTTATTCATTAATAGTGATCTCTGTGTGTAAAAACAGGTCATATCAATCATCTTATAAGTAATTACAGAACTTATAGAGATAATTCTTTACAGTCTGAATTATTTATTCTGATGTATTATCAGTCTCAGAGTGATAGACAGTTGACAGACAGTATATAATCTTGAGAACTTGACAGATTCTTGTTCAGAGAGTACTTACAAATTGACAGTCTTAATCTGATACTATTAATCTCAGCAACTCATACATCTGATAGAATGAACTCTGTAAGAAGACTTCAATAACTTGTTCAATATTCATCTTATTGCAAGATTTCAATATTATATTCTTACTTAGTCAGTCAATAATAATCAGAATGTTTCTACAACTCTTGCTCTTAGATAGATTAATAGTGAAGTCAATCATTATATCTCATCAGATTTTATCAGAGATATTAAGTGATTTCAGTAGATCTTTTCTATAATTCTTTTATAAGATGATAGAAGAATAGTGATTGTAGTTTCAGATAAAGTATCTGATACTGTTTAATATCTCAGATCAGTAGAATTCTCAGAAGATCATTCTATACAGTTGTTCATAGCCTGAATAATCAGTCATATATAAATCATGTATCTCTTGTATTATCTGAGTGTATAAGAGTTCAGAGTGAGAGACTCAGCATTATTTATGAAATTATAGAGTATTATTATCATCAATTGAACATTCTAAGATATTAGTTCTTATATGTAGTTCTGAGAAGAATCAGAGTACTCTTTGACATACTGCTTTAGTAAGAGTCTGAAGAAGTTCATCAGCCTGAGCTGCTATGTACCACAGTTCATTCAGTGTAGAGAAAGTGAAGATATCAATGTCAGTTCTAATCAGAGAAGTACATATAATGCTGTGAGCTGTTTCATCTTAATCAACTAGTATCTTCAGATTCAAGAGCTGATGCTCTCAGTTCATTCAGTGAGTATCTATTACATCAGATGACATATCTTACTCTCATTATAAGAGAACATCTATCATCAAGTTCTGACTGTCAGAATGATAGTGTATTATAAAATGAAAGCAGCTTAGAAACTCAGATCATTATATCTGTCATTCAGTAAGTTTATAGATAGTTATAAAGTATTTGAGATTCTTATAATCTGTGACTATCTCAAATTCAGAGATACTTCAGAGTTCAGAGTCTTATTCTTCTAAACAGTGTATAATTGTGAGAAGTTTCTTATCATAGATCTCATAATTGCATTCAGTGAGACTCAGTTTCTTAGATATAAAGACATAAGATTATAGAACATCTTTATTATTATACTGCAGTATTACTTCTTCTGTTACATAGCTAGAGAAATTGATCTTAATAACTGTCTTATAATCAGGATTAAATATTATCAGTAGAGAGATATTAATGAATATCTTCTTTATCTGTATAAATGCAGCTTCAGTGTCTGCTGATAATTGAAATACTGAGTCTTTCTTAATGAGATCTATAAGTGATCTCATAATATCTGAGAAGTTTCATATAAATTACTGATAACAGTTAGCAAATTTAATGAAGCTTCATACATCTTTCACAGTATATGAAGCTTTTCATTCAAGAATGATGAAGACTTTCTCAGAATTCATTCAAATTCTCTTACCAGCTTCTATAATAAAACTCAGATACTTAGTACTCTTAACTTCAAAATCACACTTATCAATATCTATCAGTTGTTCTACTTCTCATAACTGTTGTAATATCTTTCACACATGTTCTTAATATTCTGTCCTGAATTCATCAGTGAAGATGAGAATGTTATCAAGATATGCAGATGCAAATTTATTAAGAAAATCTTGAAGTGCTCAGTTGATATACTTCTGAAATGTACTGAGAGTGTTAGTCAGTTTAAAGAGTGTGACTACTCATTCAAAGAGATCATATCATGTTCAGAATGCTGTAAGTCACTTATCTTCTTTAGTAATACAGATCTTATGAAACATAGTAATGACATCTAACTTTGTAAATTATTAAGCTTATTCAATGCAAGCTAGAGTTTCATTGATAAGAGATA